CTAGTCATACACTTGTTGAATTGACGTTTTTTCAGCTACAACTAAAATATAGTGAGAGGTTTTACAGGTGAGAGAGATGAGATATATGCGTCCCATTCAAACAGATTGAATAATAATTCAACTGAAGTTTGAGGAATGACTCGGTCGCCGTCGATTGGAATGCTCTGGTGGAGATCGACGGTTGCGAAAAAAAAAAAGTAAAAGGGCGGATATTATTGTGTGATGATTCGAGCAAATTAGTGTAGAGTAGGGGAATCATGCGACTGAAGACAAGAAGGCCCAGACCTGAGGTTCGGAATCCGAGTCTCGGGTATTGAGATACTGACAAGATTCGAACTTGGTTCGGATGGTCACAGCGCGCCAAAAATTTTAGTGTGCTCTCGACAGAATATTTTAAAAGTCTTCCCAAAATCATTTGATATACAAATTTATCTAAAAAAAAAATAAAATTAAATTATTTTTAACTTAATTATTTTTTTAACTCAATTCCACTATCATCAATATTACGAATATAATTAAATATATCAATAAATCATTCTTATACACAACATCAATTTTAATTCACTATTTATCTATTCACATAATTTTAACTAATAGTCACTTCAAATGATTTCTCTCATACTTTTACATCAAATCAAATTTAGTTATTTTATTTTAAAAATTATTTTAATATACACACTATCAACTAACTAAATACATTTCTTAAAATTAACCAAACCAAACCAAAAAATTCAAACAAATTCAAAAATTTTTATATCCAAGCATCCCCGCACTTTCTTCTTAAGAATGCATGTTTTCAAATCCGTGGGTTACATACATGTTCAACCGTCAGGGTCAATCGTCGAACATGATAATTAATTTAAAAAAAAATTAAATTATATATATATATATATATATATATTATATTTTTATCATATAAATATGTGATAAAAGATACAAGGCCCCTTTGTATTATACAAAATTTACGCATTTTTCCTGATATATTAAAAAAATACGTCAAACTCCCCTATGTTTAACAAATGGTAGCACAATTTCCCCTCTCCTACTTCATACCCTCTTGTTTTATGTTGCGAAAAGGCAAGTATGCATGAAAACATTACATACAAGGGGGTATGACGCATGTTTTAAAATACAGGGTGGTAATGTGTACATTTAGTATAATGCATGTGGATTTGGTACAATAAACTCTATAAATATACAGGGTGATAACATGCACATGTAGTATAATATATGAGAATTTGGTACAATAAACCCTATAAATGTACATAAAAATTAACTAAATAAATATTTTGTACACAAATTTCAAAATGTTAATAGTATTGCATCTTATGATGAATAATTACCATAAAAATATATACATAGTTTTTATTTTTAAAATAAAAAATTGTTTTAAAATACAAAAAATATAGTGACAGATTGACCTGTCCGGATCAATGGGGTCAATGCTGGGTTGATCGAGTTTGACCGAGTCCATCATCACCCAAACCGGTTTTAACTCTGGGTCGATCTACCGGGCTGGTCTGAGTTGAAAAACAATGTCAAAATGATATACTATGCATTTTATTATTGCCCAATAAAGGTAACAATATTACTAAAATTGAATTTATATCTTTTTCACCAAATTTAATTTATACTACGACATCCACCACCTACGAGCTCAGTCGGAGTCAACCCGCCGCCTACATCAACCAGTTATATCTCGTCCCCGTTGCCGCCATATTCGACGTTGACGATGCCGCAGGCTACCGTCGCCACCATCTAGTAGAGCATCATGATGGCATTCACGACCACAAGTCCCAACGCCGCATCTATCAGCATCAACCACCATTCAGTCGAGCATGACGTCGACCTCCATGGCGAGAGCCGCCATTTCGACGGAGGGAGAGCCAATACTAAAATATTCGCTGGGAAGAAGAGGTTGATTCGAGTTGACTCAAGCTCTTTGCCGGCAATGACAAAAGAGATGAAATCGGCGAAATTCAAGCTGGGATGCGAGGATGACGGCAGTGGTGGCCGGAAGAGACGACTGGGAACGAGGCTGAGTGAAGGAAAACATGTTTTCAAAATTGTATATTCAGTTGGGGTTCTATTATTGAAAATAAGGCAACAAGGGGGGCCTGGGCCTATTTGCAATTTTCAAAATGTAATATATTTGCAAATCTCATGGGTAAAGTTGCTCAATATTTGCACAATGCTAATACGTAAAGTGCGCGATATAGCGTGAGGATATGCATATTAAAAAATTTTGTAATATTATTTCACAATTACATAACTGTTATCGCCTACACATTTAAAAGTTCCCAAATTTACCAAAATGTAAATGCGCTTATAGTTGTTCTACGGTCGATTCAGTCGAGTTGACAGATCGAAATGACAAAATCGAAATAACTGAATTGAACTTATTGAACTTTCAGACATAACCAAAATTTTAAAAGTAAAAATAGATAATCGAATCGATATATAAAGATTTGAACACAAAATTTAGATTGTCGGTTTCACTCGCTATTGTGAAGTCTAGAAAACATTAATGTGCAACTCGCCGAACACTATCATGCACTTTTTTCAGTCGCTATTGTGCAGTCTGAGCTGACCGAACTTTTGTCCCAAACCAAATTGAAACTGAACAGAATTACTTAGTTTATTTGGTCGATTATTTGACTTACCCTAAATAATCGAGATATTTTATTATTTATATTAAACATATATTTAGGATATCAATAATCTTATTTAATATTTTTATATTATTTTTGGTTGAAAAATATAATATATAAAATACCGAAATAGATATCGAGCATTCCCATAAACACAAATGTGCATTATGTCTAACATTATTGTGTAGCCTATTGAGTGAATATTTATTATGTGCATTTCAATTTTATAAAATGCGGACTATTACGCTGATGTGCGCTCTCAAACGAATTAATATGCGTTCGCCCTAACACTATTGTGCAGTCTGATATTCGCTAATATGAATCTCGTTTAACACTTATGTGCATTCTGCAGTGTTTTTTTCGTGTGCAAATCCAAGCTAAAATCAAACTGAGTTAACCGGCTTCACCTAAATAAATATTATTTTAATTATGAAATTTATCTACTATTTCAATATTTTTTATTATGTTATATAAATTTAATATTATGGATAAAATTGAAAGATAATAAAAACAATTAAAATTACAAATAAGTCCTTGAAATCATCAAACTTCCAGAAAAAATCTCCGAACTCAAATTTGGATCCCTAGCCCTAATTCTTTTCTCTGACGACTTCATTGGCTGGTTGATTGTGCGGAGGGCTGTGTCGCGGATTGCGGGGAATTGTACGTCACGGTGGCTTACATATTGATTTTTGATTCGACCCCAAATGGTTTAGGTATGGTTGTGGATGTTCGAAGGTTGGAGGCGGTAGCCCTAACATACAACAAGGCCACCATTTTGAACATCACGACAGAGACGGTGAGGGAGTCCCTGCAGGGGTTGGTTGGAGAGGAAGAAGACGGATGCATGCTCGCCGGCGGTGGATGGGATGCTCCTGCGGTGGTGGCAGAGAGGTGGTTGTGGGTGACGCTGGATGGGTCGCCGGCAGAAAGATCGGCAGGGACGACGGTGTCAGATGTGTGTATGTGGCCCGCTTCTTCACTTTCCTCATCTCCGGACTCGCTGTTGTCAGCGTGATGTGTGTGTTGTGTGTGCACGTGTGTGTGTGTGAGAGAGAAAGGAGATGTTGGTGATATGGCGAGGGACTCACTTGGGGAGTGGGTTGGTTGGATATTAATGATAATGTCTAAATTACCCTTAATAAGTATAAGGTTTTGATTTTTTTAGCCGTTGAATCTTTCATTGAGTATCATTCTCACCAGAACGCATCCTTTTATATATATATATATATATATATATATATAGAAATATATAAAGAGTCATCTTATTTACTAAAATTAGTAGCAAGAAAAGTCAAAGGACAATTAATGCATTCTATTTCCATCAATTTTTTCAATTGTATTATTATTTTATTGCTAAAAAACTGATTTGCATTAATTCATCCTTAATTGGTGCGTTTTGCAATAACATCGGGCAGATAGACTTCAAGTAAAAACATGTCTCATTTCAAATTTAACTTTAAATATTAAAATTTCTTATTATTTTGTTACATTAAAATCCTGAATGAATTGTTTGCCATAAAATCGGACAAAATAATAATTGCATAGAATTCAAGAAAAGTCAACCAGCATTTATTAAATGAGTCATTTCCACAGAGCGTTAAGTAGCTTGTGCGATTCACGGGAGATATTAAATGAGTGGACCATAGGACTTGTCTGTTCAGACTTAGAAAATAATAGAGTTTGATCATCTACCTTTTTACATCTTTTCATCAACGTCATTTTTTTTGTCGGAACATTAAACATGAGTCTGGTAGCGCTAGCCCGTAAATTAATTAATATATTATCTCGCTCACATGTTTATAATAATATAAATTCGATTTCATTATATATATTTATTCCTTGATATAAGAAAAATAACAATTTTACGTAATCTTGTTCCTCGTATAATACTCATATTATTTTACTATAAAATTTATTGTAATATAATGTCATTATTATTATTTATACAAGTTATAAATGTAGTCTTCTTCTTCTTTTTGTTTTATGTAATTAAAATATTTAATATATGTTCATATTATTTATTAATGTAATTAATTTAAATTATGTAAATAAATTTAAAGTAAAATATTTTGTACAAACATTTTACAAAATATACACAAATATTTTTTTAGAATTTAATTTTTTATGATAAATAAACATCTTTGAAATTTTATGCAATTATTAAACATCCTTGATATAAATTTGAAATCATAATTGAATTCTATGCAATTATTAATTCCGTCCGATGTTATGGGAAATAAATCATTCGAAAATGTAACAAAATGATAAGGAATTTTAAAATTTAAATATTAAATGAGACATGTTTTTACCAAAAATAGTAACAAGAAAAGTAAACAAAATTTATTGCATTCTATTTTTGACAGTTTTTGATTTTTTTTTATATATTATTCCCAAAAAATCGATTTTCATGGGTTTTGTGGATTTAATTTAGGTAAATTTTCGTCTGATGCGTACAATTTTGCAAAAGTCAAAATTCTTTCTCCTTTTTTATTTAAAGAAAAATTGATTACCATAAAATCGGGAATTTCGAATAGGCAAAATACTATCAAATATATTTTTTCCTAATTGCAATAGATCAATTGTTTATTAAAATAAATCGATTGCATAGAAATTGGGTTAATTTAGGTAAAATTCGGCATGACAATTTTGTAAAAGTCAATATTCTCTCATTTTTTATTAAAAGATTTTGTTTACCTTAAAACATGTAATTTCGAATTAGGCAAAATACTATATAACATGTATCTTTACTTAGTTGCAACAGATCATGTTTATTTAAAAAAAATCGAATTGCATAGAAATCGGTCCCAATTTCAAATTGAAAATTAAAATTTAAAAATCCATTATCATTTGGCTACTGCTTTCTTTAATTCAGATTTTTTTTTACACATAAAACAGAGTCAGATAATATTATTTTGAAATTCAAAATGAAATCAGATTGGAACATCCTAAAAAATTGGGTTTTGTTTAATCTTCTAGAATACAAATTTGAAATTGAAACCCTTACACAATTTTTCCCTTTCTTAAAATAATAAGGATATAGATTATCAAGAAAGACGTTTTACAATATCCGTTATATTTGACTATGCAATATTTATTAAAGCAGTATAAATCATATTATATATATCCTGCTAAATAATTTAATTGATTTATTTAAGCCTATCTAGAATCCTATCATAAGTTGTGGCGAGAGACGATGTACCAAAATACCAAACAAATAATGTTGTTTACAATGATGTATCAATAATATATAAATTACATTTTATTTATTTCAATACAAGCGTTTTACATTCTTCCAATCATCTAATCATCCAATTCTAAATGCGTATCCTAATAAAATTAGCCCGTGCATCGCACAGGTACCACACTAGTATATATTAAAACATCAACTATATTCATATTCATATACACTTAAATGCCAAGTCGTCATCATTTAACATTCGTGTGATATGAGTAATGCAAAGGTAGAAACATGGATGTTCCATTCTTTCTGTTCAATGCATGTAACATCATTGTTAAATCCAAAATTAGTTACTTCCAATGAAATGTGCAATCTGGCCCAACAAATGAAATGTGCTTAAATGACGAATTAAACGTGCAAATTATACAATTGATTAATCATTAAATGGGAATATATTTTTGAACCAACCGTTGATGCATGTGAAGATCGTGTAATACGTATGAAAAGAGATGACATGAGAGTAGCTAGCTAGTGAACTGTTGAACTAAATTAAAATGTAACTACAACATTCAACACATAAAAACAGACATTGCACTACTAATCCAGATTCACCAAACAAACAAGTACTCGAGAAAATCAATCCCAAAAACCAACAAAAAATAAAAAAAAAAAGGAAGCAGTCAATTAGAAAAATAAAATTGATCAGGGGAAGAAGACATTGGACCACATATTATTGAGAGCCGTATTAGTACTACTAGTATTCGTATTAGTATTAGTCCCCTCCACGTGTGGGGTCCACTCCGAAAACCACGGCTGCTGCTGCTGCTGAGTTGGCTGTTTATCCTTGCGGAGTGCCTCGATCCTGCCGTAGATCTCCTCGAGGCTCCGGTCGAGCAGCCACACCACATCATTCAGATCTGACGTGGCAAGCCCGTGGACCCCACGGCCAGCAAGGCACTCGTACATGAGGCGCGTCATCTCCTTCTCTCGGTTCTCCTTACGCAGCTTCTTCAAGTGGTCTGCCGCGCGGGTCCCACGCTGCCGGAGGAACATCTCCTGGTTCACCATCTTCTTGCTCTGCTCCATCTCCGGCATGCGCTTGAAGTGGGCCAGCACGCGCTGGGCCCCATCAGGCCCATTGGGCCAGACATCTGGCTGGGCCTCGTAAGGGCTGTACACTATAGCACACGCCTCTATCCCACACAGCGTGCTCAGCTCACTCACTTTCTTCATCAGCCCCTTTTTCCGCTTCTTGAACGTGGCCTTGCGGGACGAGTCGTTGCTGATGAACGCTAGCTTCACTTTCTTACGAGTCATATCTATTATTTCTTATTTTTGCCTGTTTTTGTGTTGTGTATGGTATATATAAAGGGATTTGGCCCATTTGGGGGATATTATTTGGAATTAATGTGGAGGATTTGGAAGTTACGGCAAAAAGGAGGGATTTTGGTAACTAAGGTGTTAATGTTTTTGATATGAAGCTCACAATGTGTGTTATTTATTACTTTTTATCTTCAAGATATTTGCGTCTTTATTTTCTAGGCTGTCACATATATGTAGATGCATACCTTTCGTCGTTACTAATATTTATTTACATGGGCATGTGTTTGTTTTATATATGTGCCTGGTTTTCATACATTTGTTGCTCTGCACTTACTTTTCTTGTTGTTCGCGTTTTTCTTTAACACACATTTCAGATAAATTAAAAAGATCTAAGATGTCAAATCTCTTGGTTTCATCACACAGATATAAAAGTCTGTGTGATGGAAAATCATTTGAAGAAAATGTGTCTTGACCCGACTTCTATTGAATTTTATGTTTATAAATCTATATCTATATCTATCTATCCATATATATATATATATATATATTATATGAAAAAACTACAGTAACATTGATGGAATCATTCCGTCAACATGACTGTAGTTATATATATAGGGTTGGTTCAAATGAGAATGATTTTCAATGAAAGAAATAATAATACATCTTGGCTATTAGATCGGATGATCTAATGGCGAAAAAAAAGTTAAGATCGTAGACTCATTAAGGGTAATTTGGACATTACCATTACATATCACCATGTCACATTGTTCGCAAAATATTTTCACTATCCGCAAGTGTACGGTATAGCTATAGTGAGTGGCGAGCAAGGTCGTATTCCACAGAGATTGTTGTTAAAATAATGAAGTACCAAAATATTGACGAATAAATATTATTCAGACTAACTCAAATCCGAATGGTGATTTTATTCTAAACTACTAAATGATTGCAAAATAAATTCTAACACTAATGAAGGTTTGTTCTAAGATAAATCAAGAATGAGAAAATAGATTCTAGGCTATGCTTTCCTCGGGATTTATTCTAGCAAAGATTTCTTATTCATTCAAACCTTATTTAATTCTACCATTCATAGGGATAATCGCTAAATTAATTTACACATTTCTCTCGAACAAGTTAAATCGTAGATATTAATTGTTATCTATCTCCTAACGGTCTCAAGATGAACAATTAACTCCCATAAGCTCCTAAGATTCTAGTTCTCTCGCAAGATTCTATCAACCTCTCGGACTGTTTAGTCTCTTACGTTATGAATTTCCCAATTCTAGCAATCAACTATCTCCTCTCGGTCTCAAGTCAATCACAAATATGCACAAATACGGGCCCTATATTCACACAATTCATATAAGCACAAGAAATTGATAAACGAATGATAAACTGGAATGAATAAATAAAATCACTTCATAAAATAATCCGAGTACTCGCAAATCATAGAATCCCTAGAAGGTTTAGCTACTAAACATATTCTCAAAACTCAAAGTAAATAAATCCATGAGTTCAGTGAAGAAGAAAAAGAGAAAAGAAAGAAGAACTATTGTCGCTGTTAGTTCCCGAATCTTCAATCTTGACTTCCTCGAATCCCTCGTGTGTTTCGTACTTTCTGTAGGCCTCAAATGGTGTCAAAAGTCCCAAAAGCGAGTTCCTAAGGTCTGTTTTATACTGTAGGGTAATTCTGGGTCAAAAAAGAGAAGAAATAGCGTAAGAATCCTAATCCCCGCTGAACTGATCTGCGCGTCACACGAGTCGTGTCACATGCCACCCGAAACGTGTGACTTTTCTCCAATTTTCGCCAAACTTCCAGACCCACACGACCGATCACACGAGAGATCACACGAGTCGTGTGGGGTCACACGACCCGTGTCACAACCCACATGACCCGTGTGAAAAAGTCGTAGCCGTAGCTGTTATTTGCCAACCCACACGACCCGTGTCACCATCCACACCAGTCGTGTGGCATCTTCTACACCCCGTTTTTGCCATTTTTTTTCCCGATTCTATTTTCAACGCTTTTTCGAACATATTTTTCGCAAAACCAATGACAAAAGTACCTCTATCATAGATTAATAAATAAAACAAAATGGTGCACAATCACACAATAATCATGGCCAAATATCACACTATATCACTCATAATGCATGAAAATATGATGAATGTCAACTCCCCCAAACTTAAACCCTTGTTCGTCCCCGAACAAGAATAAGTAAATCAGAACTCAAGCATAATGGGTGATATCAAACTAGAACAACTTCAAGTCCTTCAATGCAACCAAGAAAAATTGAAACGATCATAATTATCATGCTTTGACTACTATCTTGTATCTACCTTGAATCAACGAGCTCTCAAATATATAAGTGCCTCACTCACATGTCATCAATATATAAAAGAGAAGGATACGCTCAAGTTAAATCGAACACCCGATTAACTATATGTTTTCCAATCACCTAAAACTCTACTTCAAACACTACCAATAATCATGAGCCTTAAATCAAAAGGTCTTTCTGGGTTGTAACGTAGGCTATTTGGTCAAGGGTATGATATATATATGGGTTAAGTGGCTCAAATAAACAATTATACCATTCGAGTATATAGACTGCTCGACATACTCCACTCCTCCTCTCTAATCAACATCAAGAGTTTCTCAATCCCAAACCAAAATAATCCATACACAACTCATAAATGCTCAAATCAAATTGTAAAGGAAGTACTTGACCATTTTTTTCTTTTTCTTTTTTTTTCTTTCCGTTTTTTTTTCTTTTTTTTAGAGAGTTCAAATTTTTTTCCAAACAAAATCAGACTGCAAGAACAATATTCTCTAGGTATAAATATTGGAGGTCATTCAAGTGTCCTAGAGTGGTTTCCCATTACCCATTACCCGTCAAAATAAATCAACTAGTAAGAGGAGTAGAATCCCAACAATTCGACTTGCGAGCTCCCTTTATTATCATTTTTTTCATTTTCTTTCGGTCAAACACAGTAAATGCAACTCAATAACACCTCATTCCATACCCAATCATCCAATAAATAACTCCGTTATCCCCATACATCCCAAACACTAGTCAATTCTCAAGATAAATAAGATAAACCGGTTGACAAGAAAAAGGCTTAAGGCTCAAACGGGCTACCAGTGAAAAATATTTTTAAGGACAAGGAACAAGGCCAAACGAGCTAAATTCAAAAACCGCCTAAATCATTTTTAAAGCTCACAATCACCAGTGCATTTTTTCAAGTGTAGAATCACGGCAAATTCTAATAACTCGGGTATTCAATTGACACACACAGACAAGGAATAAAGGCTCAAGTCTCACTAGGCTCAATATATCGCTAATTCAAGGCTCATAAGCATTTTCATCTAGGCATGACTTTTACAACCCCATCACAATTCCTCAATCACATCAAATTACCATTCACCATTCAAGTTAGACATGTCATCATCAATCCAAAAGCCCAAAATACACAAGAGACTGACTCATGATCAATCCTACTCCTAAAAAGCAAGTAAACGTGCTCTACTCAATAAAGACATAAAAAGTAAAATAAACTAATGCAACCGAGAAATGCAAGATAGATTGGGATAAGAACCTAAGATATGCCGCACCCCTCCCCCAAACTTATTCTTTCGAGAAAGAACAAATTTGAAAGAAAAAGTGGTATATCTTAGGGGACTAACTTCCTGATATCACGGCTGAGGAGGGGAAAAATTCCCCTCGTGTCTCTGCATCCACTCAAATATCTGCTGGAAGCTGCTGTTCATCACTGCCGCAGACGCACGGTTCTCATCTCTCATACCCCGTACGTGTGTCCTAAGCTCATGCATCTCTCGCTCGAGCATCGTCATCCGCTCATCCATGTCCGGCTCTCGACGCTGACGTCTCTGCCTCTACCTCTGCCGCTACTCATGTTGGGTTCGCCTGTACCATACGAGTAATTTGCAGCGGAATTTTTTTTTTTTAAACAAGTATTTATCATATAAATACTCAACCCGTAAATACATAAAGCGAATAAACATATAGTCATCATTTAAAAACATGTATACATACAAATTTTGATTTGAAAATAGTTTTGAAGTTACCTTAACTTGAACTCCTTCAACTTTGACGATGATAGAGGAAATCAATTCCCAGTTTAGTAACGATCAATTCTTCTTGTTACTCACTTTAGGAATCCAATTGTCTTCCCTCTAATAGTATCCACCTTTTTGAATCCGACTCCGAAAGATAATTTCTTCGCTAGTAGAAATTACTCGGTTTTTCAATAAGTATAGGAATATATATTTATGAGGAGTTTTACAAGAACTATTCTTGTTTTAGAGAGAGAATAATTTTTCTTATCTTTTTCAAATTTTTCAAGACTTAAAATTTTCTTACAAACTTAGCAATTATGAACATCAAGTATGTCCATATTTATACTAAAAATTTAGGTATAAAATAATGATGTCTTGAATAACTTTCACAAGAAATGTAAAGATATTCAACTTAAAATATTTATGTCTTGAATAACTTTCACAAGAAATGTCAAAAAGTCTTTTATCACTTTTACAAGAAATGTTAAAAAATCTTGTATCACTTTTACAAGTTAATACAAGAATAATATAATGGATGGGATGGGATCCCACATTACATTATATTATTATTATTATTATTTAATCTATAATCTCAATTAAAAATTAATAATAATAATAAACAAATAATTTTAAACTCTTTCAAAATTATTTGTAAATATATTTTCTCCCATATATAAAATCTCCTCATTTAATAATCATATTATTATTTGAATTTGAATTTTAAAATTTTGTAATTTTCCAATTTCAAAATCCAACTATTAATTTAGTAATTCCATTAATTACTTAATTAATATGCAAAATAAAATTAATCAATCCAATTGATTAATTTATTATAATCCTTTAATTGACATCTAATCACAATTAGATTTTGTCAATTAATTCTAACTCTTTAGAAATAGTAATTTCATTTTGCCTTCATTCAAAAATTGGTGTGACCTTTTAGGTTCACTATTAATACTAGTAGTGGGTTTACAACTCTTTGTAATTTGAATTAATCTAATTAATTTTTATTCATGAAATTAACTCCTTAATTTCACGAACCCACATATCATGGGAACATCTAGCAAGTAGCATGAATCTAGTATTAAGTGAATAGCGAGTAAACCTTTTCGATTACAATTCCATACATATAAAATCCTTTCGACAACTAATTTCCCGATTAAATCTTGGGTATGGTTTTTAGTCGAAACCCATTTGATTTAATAACTATGATTCCATTTCAAGTTTAGTAATTCGTGTATGAATCTCTATTCATCCCGCCTTGGCCAAGGTCTTTGAATCACAAACTATGAAAAACATAGGAAATTCACTTATCCTTATAAGTGTCGAATTCTTTGTTGGCCACAGATAAACCTTCATACATATTAATACAGTACCCAAAATATCCCTTTATGATTGTCCAGCAATCAAAAGATAAATCAAAGTAAAGCACAATATGCATAAGATTACTATCGTGCCTCAAGTCAGAGGATCAATCATGTACTATTGCAACATGAAAATTCTTACTCGACAGTAAAAAGTTCCATTTAAGAAATTTCATACGGTCATGCTCAGTGAACTTGTTCCCTAACAAGCACCCACATATATGTATTTGCGTCCAATGCTAATGTTGATGGAATGCAACATTCTTGTCCAACAAGTATACATCATATGTGCAAATCTTACCGGGTTATTCGATATCCCATCTCGAAATACCCATCGACTTGGAACTTTATTTTCAGATCAAAACTTTCAAAGTATCTTCCATGATTACCATCCAATGCGTAACCATACCTTATAGTTTTTAATGATCCAGGGACTTTATCATATATTCAAATATGCATAATATAAAGTAATGCCTTTTATTTAATATAAATTCCAATAAATTCTATTTACAAGTAGAATGTATCCAATATGATTGGAACGTTGGGTATTCTACTCTAACAATCTCCCACTTGCCCTAGTTCCAATCAACCATGTATTTCAAACCCATCTTCTCAAGATGTCTTTCAAATACTTTCTGTGATAAAGGCTTAGTTAAGGGATCTGCTATATTTTCTGGTGAGTCGACTCTTTCCATTATGACGTCGCCTCTACCAATGATTTCTCTAATCAAATGGTATCGTCTCAAGATGTGTTTGGATCTTTGATGAGATCTTGGCTCTTTCGCTTGCGCAATAGCCCCATTGTTATCACAATAGATCATTATTGGATCAACAACAGACGGTACTACACCCAACCCTTGAATGAAGTTTCGTATCCAAACAGCTTCTTTTGCAGCATCTGATGCAGCAATGTATTCAGCCTCAGTTATAGAGTCAGCAGTTGTTTCTTGTTTGGAACTTTTCCAACTATCTGCTGCTCCATTTAAGATAAATATGTATCCTGACATTGATTTAGAGTCGTCTTTATCTGACTGAAAACTAGAATCAGTGAATCCTTCTAGTTTTAATTCTCCATTGCCATATATCATAAAGATATCCTTAGTCCTTCTCAAGTACTTAAGAATCATCTTAACGGCTTTCCAGTGTTCTTCACCTGGATTAGACTGATATCTGCTCGTTACACTAAGTGCATGAGCCACATCAGGTCTTGTACATAACATGGCATACATAATGCTACCAATAGCTGATGCATACACTACAACATAACTGATATTTTGTAACAGTGAAAAAGTATTGCTTAATACCTAGAAAATGTTACCGTACATAATAGCTAACATTTCCACTGGCGTCGTATCTGATTGCGTTACCTATAGTCACAGGTATCACTTTTGAAAGCTTTTAGAAACATTTTTTTCAAGTGTAACGTTAGGATATCTATTGTAACAGTTTGACGTAACACTTTTCAAATGTTAGATATAATAGTTTATGTAACACATTTTTGTCCAATTGTAATATTTTTCTTAAATCAACTTTTCTTGTATGGTAACACTGTGCACCATAATTGTGTCACGATAGATCTTTTAACATAGCACTTTTTTTTTTAAAAAATATGTTACTTTAGCTTAGTAAATGTGTTATAATTACCTTATACATAGAGTAACATCTTATCTAATACTTGTATCACTTTAATTTCATTTATTGTTTCACATTATTAAGATTTCTTATCACTTTAAGTTACTTCTCAATTAAAGTACTTATTAGACTGGTTCTATGTATATATACATATACAAAATGTAAACTGGAATATTAAAAATACACTGCAATATAAAAGTAATAAAATATCTCTATATTTCAAAACAAAGAAAGATAAAGAGGCCAAACATTCCAAAGTTTAAGTAAAAGGTCCTTAATGCAACAAAGACGGAGAGTAACTAACAAAAGACACAAAGGCGAATAGTCAGTCTATTTCTTCTTCTCCTCCTTCTTCACCTTCTTCATTCTCTATTCTCTCAGCATTTTCATGAATGGTTTTATCATAATCATTTGCTCCATCATCGTCAAAGATGTCATCCTGAAAATGCATAATTTTAACACTCCAAAAGTCAACAAAATAACAATATTATCACTTCAAAAGCATGCAAAAATGACAAAAATAGGTTATGAATTACTAGACGACCAAGATGACAACAGTTAAAAACTTACATTCACATCGCCCATTTAAAAAATCAAATAAATGAGACTAGTTATACTATGAGATTTCGGATGGAGTTATATTGAAAGAAAAAAAAAAATCGAAAGGCAATATAAAAATCAACAATTTAAATCATCAGAAGACATAGCAAATTATTTGTACTTTTGTTTTCAATCTATATCATCAAGTCACACTCATTATTTGTACTTTTATTTCAAGAAATTCAAACCATCAGAACACATTACAAAGCATTTCTAGATTTAACAAATTAAAGTTTCACATTCAAATAAGGAGATATAGAATTACCTGACAATGTCCAGTCTCTTTGATGCCTTCAAAAGATTGTGTTTTGAGTGATGAGGCTATAGTTGAAAGTATCTTAGAAGGAATTTGATCTTTCAACAGTTTCATAACTTCTGCTACTGTCTCTTTTAAAATCCCAGCTCTATACGGCTGCATAATTTCATCCGAAATCAGGACTCCACCACTACCACAATTAAGAGATTGTTTTCTTTTCTTGGTATATCTTCCCAAAAGTTCACTCTTCAATGAGTCTGGAACCGTTTCCTCCTATTTGGATACATATCAAATTGTATAAGAGAAACAATACACGTAAGTGTCTCATTTTGAAATTATAAAACTAATCATCAGGAATAATAAAAAACACAAATAGACATCAAGAAAACCTTTCCTTAAATTCCTAGCAGAAAAAAAAAAATGTTACTTACATAAGATGACATATAAGTCTTCCCTTCTTTCCTTTTGCGAGTTTCCTTGTACATGAGTGCTTGATCTGGTACTTTCTTTTCGGCATTTTCCTTTAAAATAATTCAAAACAATAACTAAAATAACACATATCTCTTTATTCCTTTTACCATTATTCTGAAATGAATAAGAGATATGTAATTATAACAAAACAATTACATATCTCTTATTTACATTACCATTATAAATTAAAAACAATGTCTCATAAAAGTAAACATAATATATGCTCTTATAATTGTAAACTAGTACACTACAATTTACCAGCTCAAAACGCTTTCTTGCAAATGATATAGGACCCATCGTATGCCTATCTTTTTGTTCTTCACTGTGCTCCTTGTTCTTCTTACTTAATTCCTGCAATTAAACTCATCCTCGAGTTCAAATAATTTGAGAATAATAGCTAAATGGTAAAACACAATAAAACATTAGTCTATTACATTACCTTAACCTCATCAAGTTTCCAATATTCTAACAATTCTTTAAAATGTGAACCTGAAATCGACTTTGGCCTATTCATCCATCTTTCTTTGTCATTCTCATACCCGGTGTAGTGTTTCTTCTTTATTCTACATTTATGACTACGCCAAAGATCTCCAACCGAAGATAACACATATTCCATGGCCTCCTCTGGGATGATGAATTTCTTCTGCAATAAAGGAATTATTGTATGTAGTCTCTTAAGTATGATATAGTTAAAAAAGTATATGCTAAAACAAACGTTCGTATTTTTTATATGAGTGATGAGATAGAGATTTCAGTAGTGGATAACACAACAATAAAGACCTGGAAAATGATTACCAGAAAAATAACCTATCATATAGAATGTTCAAAGCACCATTACTTCACATAATCAAAAATCTTATCCTTGCCGGTAACATGGCGCCAGTCAACCTTATTCAGTGGTGCAAGAGTAGAATCTCGAGATATAGTCCCTAAAAACATACTAAACTTTGTCAAAGTTTCTTGATCAGGACCAATTGGCTGACCTTTGACATTGAAAAATATGGGTCTACGTTCATCTAATGTCCATGCATGAACGTCTTTGCACATAGTTGGTCCTCTCGTTCGCCTTTTCTTCTCCAACACTACATATTTGGATTTGATAAAAATTCAAAAAATAAGTCTAAGAAAGCTTGTACCAACAAAATTGTATTAATCAAAACAAAATTTTTAAATAAACATTTAGAGACAACAAACATAATATATATAGAATTTATATTCAATTTTACTGGGTTGGTCAATGTGACGATCTTGCATGAGAATCTGGTCATTAGTTTCTGCAACTATAGGATCACTTTTTTCTTCAACAGCATAAACATTTGAATGTTGCTGCTTATGTGAACTCCCGATTTCATATCCATTATCATCTTCAAATAATTCAACTCTTACACCTTGGTGCGGTAAACTCTCAGGTTAGTTGACATTATTGACTGGTAAAGATAATTGTTCATCTGCGATACCTTTCCCTCTCAACCTTTGAAAAGCACTAAGTGTTCCTGGTAAAACCATCATGTTATTTTGGCTCTTCTTCATACGAGTGGGTCTTTCCGTGAGAGTTGTCCTCGGCTTGTTTCAAAGGCACTTCTTGAAGAGGTGGTGCAGGGATCGTCAGAGGTTGTTTCAATTTCAATGCACTCTCATCACATTGATTCTTCGCTTTACTCTGTTCCAAAAGTCTTTTCCGAGTTTGAGAACGTGATTTTATTAAGCTCGCCATTGTCGCCATTGACAACTGTTGTTCGTCTGCAATCCTTTCAGGCTCCACGTTTTGCTAGCAATTACCTTAACACATATACATAACACCTCATATGTGAGCATATGAATAATACATTGAATCATATAATGGAACAATTTTAGATATATACAACCTTTTTTGAGCAAGATCTCAAATTTAGTATTGTCCCAAACCCTTGAGTGTTGTTTTGTTTGGATATTTTTTCTGAATGATCACCTTTTCCAAGTGTGGGCTCATCATCATTTTGAAAGTCTTGAGTAGGCCTTAATGTTTTGTTGATCTTTACTTGCTTAGCCGGTTTCTTCAAATTCATTTTCTCATAAGCCACCGGTCTAAGTCCAAGTTCCTCCATCTTCCTTTTATTCTCCTCTACTATCCTCCTTCTTATACTCTCATACTCAGACATTTCCATCTCCCTGAAAAACATACATGATAACAAAACCATTAATATTTAAAATAACCACGCAGGCTGCCTTTCTAACGGGGTTATGACTTCTCGATCACCGGTACCTGCAAAACACGCCGGGAGTGGTCCCGGCGTGGACACTCCGATGTTCAAGTTAGTGGGAGGATTTGAGAGAAACGAGAAAACCAGTGAGACAAAATATCTTTTTTTTTTTTGTGTGTAAGAGTGACCCTGTCTGGCAGGACTTCTAGTGTGGCAAAGAGTCCTCTTCCCGTCTATCACTCAACAGAACATACTTCATATGATTGCCCAAAACCCCGATCATATTAGACTTCTTCAGCAAGTACGACTCGATCCGATTTTTCAAAACCGACTTACTGAGTTATAGTATTTCGGTACAAATCGGTCGATTACAAAAAGATCTATCAAGATTTAGAAATTTGAAAAACATATATATATTTTTATTAATAAATAGCTAAATCGACCGGATTTTAGAAAATCGTTACCGCTTTATAGTATTTCAGCTCAAATTCGTCGATTACAAATAAGATCTACCAAAATACAAAGCTTTGCATTTTTTTTATAAGATCTATGCATTGAGAGTATTTTATTGTTCAGTTTTTATATGAAAAATAGAATGTTATAACAGATACGAAGATTGTTATGAGTTTTGTTTCGAAATTTTGAGGTATATTATTATATCTTTGTATATTTATTAATAATTTGTAAAAAGAAGTGCAATAATTTAAAAGATCTATTAAGAGTGCAATTAAACAATTGTAACGTCTACAATAATTGCTACAATATTGAACACACTAAATAAGTTCTTGCCAATTTTAACACAATCAAAACATTAATACCAAAGACTTATATATTTTGTGAAATAAAAAAAATATAATAAATTGAAAAGAAACGTCTTTTGACTGGAATGCCACGTAGGTAAAATTAAATAAATTTTATTTATTGCTTATAGCTAGTAATTATATATATATATATATATATATATATATATATATATATTTGTCAATTTAGAGAATGTGATAAATAGTTCGGTAACAACTCGTTTAGCCAGAAACCAACTACGGTTAAGCCTACCCCGTGGGTGAGAGCCTCATTTAGCATAACTAGTATTCAGTTACAATTTCTTTCAAGTAATTTTGTTTCTTTTCCACATAAATCATTTTACCTTGTTTTTCTAATCAATTCTTAAATTGAAAAGTTTATGTAGACTTATATCTTTGAAAATATAGTACCTAATGGCTAACTGCTTGTAGCTCATTTGTTTACTTACAAATGGAATGAAAAGTAATAGTAATTAGAATTATTCATATTTAGCACTTAAACGAGACCTCTCACATAAACAAGACCTATAGAAAATATATAACACAAGTTTTTTGCTTTTGCTTTAGCTGCCATACATAAGCATTTCTTCATGTCAGAGACGAGGAGGATGGAGGAAATATAAACATCATATCTTTGAGCATTAAAACATTTGAAGAAGTTTACATAAAAACGATTCATATAACAAAAATAAAGAAATAATGACATGTGCCTCTCCATCTGATCCGTAAGACACATGAAATACGTGAGTAAGGTTGGTAACTAGTGAATGACTTCTGATGGCTTAAAGTTGATTCTTCGGAGTCGGGTGACTGTGAACAGGTTAACCTGAAATTGAGCCAAATGAGCCTTGCACATAAGCTGTTTGATATAATGCCTAGGAGAAGTCTATAAGCCATATGAAACCCAATTGAAACTTATTATAACAAATATCAACTGGAAGTTTTGAAAACATACCTCTATTTGCATTCCAATTCATTCATAAATCTTCATTCCATCTGATACAAAAGAAAAAGAGCAAGTAAAACCAAAAAATAAAAAATAACCAAACTTAGAATCAAGAAAAAATGTAGAGTTAAGACCACAAATAAAAAAAAAAAAACATGAACTACTTTCCACAAATTATCAAATTATAACTTTAACTTACATCATTGTAAGCCTAAACTGGATATCCAATTCATTCTCCAACTTTGCTAAGCCTGATAGTTTATGAACAAAAGAGATAAATTTATTAATTATATAAGAATTATAATAGTAAAAATCTGACCATCATATAATTCAACAGAGTACCTTATGACAGAAAAGATTCATCTCAAGGACCAATACACGATAAATTTGAGCCAGCCATATTCCATTCATTTCCATGGTTCTCACCAGAAGCATAATCGGAATAATTGGGGAAAGTATTGCCATGCATGTCAACAACAGTATGAGGTATATCTTCTCTACACCATCTCACATCATCACTATCATTAACCATATTCCCTATCATATCATCAAGAACTTCATTAGGTTCAACCAAAAAAGCTTCCTCTGTTTCATCGAAACCAAAAAACTCTTTTGGCAAATTCTTTATCGTGTAATGCCAACCCTCTTCTATTTGATCTTCAACATAAAAGACTTGATGCACTTGTGAAGCTAGCACAAAAGGGTCATCTGAATAACAATTCTTGTTGAAATTAACACGAGCAAAACCATAGTCATCATTTTCTACATGAAACCAGTCGCATCGGAATAACATGACACTAAACGAGCTCCAATAATCTAGCTCAATGATCCCTTGTATCACTCCATAATAAAAAACTTTTTCAGTAACGAGATTATGATCCTTAGTAATCGCAAAACTCGATGTTAAAGCTGTCAATGTAACCCCACTATTCTGAGTTTTGCATTTTGCATCACGTGCTCTAGTGTAAAATTTATATCCGTTAACAATATAACCCACATACCTTCGTGAAACATTACATGGTCCTAAAGACAACCATTTAATATAAGGAGGAACTTGGTCTTGGTCTAACTCAACCTTTCCTTTAAGCCAAAACATGAACTCTTAGCTATGTTGTTGAGCTTGCCTCCACCTCGTTCTTTTTTTATCTTTCGACATGATCTCCATCATTCTTTCATGCTCCCTGAATTTGGATAAACAATATATTATTAATTATATGCATTATATTTTAAATAAAAGACATACTAATATCAATTAAAGAGTTACTCACTTCTGGTAATTTTGAATTTGTACATTCTCACAACTGAACAACACATATCGATGTGTTGTGTTCTTCATCCAGGTGTCTAGATAAAACAATGTCCCTTTTTTTTCCCCTCCCAAGGGGATGACCGACTTTAGGAAATATAGGGCAATTTTCTTCACTTACTACAATTTTATCATAATTTATTGTTCCGCTCCTTGATCGTTTTTTCGCACCGTCCTTCAAATATCTTGAGCAAAACACCAAACACTCTTCTGCAAAATATCCTTCGGCAATAGAACCTTCTGGACAGCTGCGATTCCGAACATTTGATTTCAGTTTTCCAAGGTATCTCTCAATTGAGAACATCGACCATCCATGTACTGGTCCACTCAACTTAACTTCATCTATTAAGTGGATAGGCAAGTGCATCATTGAGTCAAAGAACGAAGGTGGAAATATTTTCTCAAATATGCACAGAACTTCAACTATTTCATGTTGCAACTGGTTCAGATCAAGTGGATTTACTACTTTATTGCAAAGGCCTCGGAAAAATGCACCCAACCTTATCAAAGCAAGAGCCACGTGCTTCGGTAGTGTTTTACGTACTGCAACTTGAAGTAGATACTGCATCATGACTTTTATATCCTGATATTTTTAATTCTTTCATTTGCACACAACGAGAAATATCTGATGCAAATCCTTGTGGTAGTTTTACCTTTTTCAGAACCTTGCAAAACAATACCTTCTCTTCCCTCGTCATTGAAAAACATGCTTTTGGTAGCAAACACCGCACGTTGCTAGACTCTACAGGATGTAGTGATGCTCTAATCCCCATTTCTTTTAAATCCAATCTAGCCATATGATGATCTTTTGTTTTTCCAGGAATGTCTAACAAAGTCCCCAGCACACTATCATTAATATTTTTTCTATATGCGTAGGATCTAAATGATGTCGAGATAAAACATGCTCCCAATATGGCAAACTGAAGAAACATGACTTCTTTCTCCATGGACAATTTTCAGTTTTCATTTTCGGTTGCATTTTTCCAAATTTATTTTCGAAATTCTCCAATAAAGATAAGATTTCACCACCTGTTAAAGGATTTGGAGCAACCCTTTTCTCTATCTTTCCATTAAAAGATTTTTTATCATTGCGCCAACGATGATCTGCAACCAAAAATCTACGATGCCCCATGTAGCAAGATTTTTTACTATTTTTCAAGTATAAGTGATCTGTTTCATAGTGACAATAAGGACATGCAAACTTTCCCTTCGTGCTCCAACAAGACAACATGGCATATCCAGGGAAATCACTTGTTGTCAACTGTAAAGCAGCATGCATCTGAAATACTTGGCGCTTTGATACATCATATGTCTCTATACCAAACTCCCACAATTCTTTTAGCTCTTCCACTAACGGCTGAAGGTAAACATCAATGTCATTACCTGGAGAATGTGGCCCTGGAATAATTAAGGATAACATAAGATACTCTGACTTCGTATAACCAAGGTGGTAGATTGTAGTTAATTAAAACAACTGGCCATGTACTATGCGAAGTGCTCATAGTTCGAACGGGGTTAAATCCATCACTTGCTAGTCCTAACCTCACATTCCGAGTTTCTTGAGCGAAGTGTGGATATAAGGAATCGAAATCTCTCCAAGCCTTGCCATCTGCTGGATGTCTTAAATTCCCATCCTTTATCCTTTTCTCCTCATGCCATCTCATATAATTAGCTGTTTCAGAACACACAAACAACCTCTGAAGCCTAGGTTTTAAAGGAAAGTGCCAAACTACTTTGGCTGGAATGTTTCGAGTGTTTTTAGGTGGATGATTTTCATTGTCTCTAAACTCCATTTCAGTTTCCTTCCACCTCGAAGCATGGCAAACATGACAAGATGTGTCACTTTCGTACTCTTTCCAGAACAACATACAATCATTACGACATGCATCGATTTTTTTATAATGAAGACCTAAGTCCTTCACCAACTTCTTGGCTTCATTAAAAGACTTAGGCAATTTGACTTCGGGAATCAGTTCTCGAATAATTTCGAGAAGATCAGAAAATGCCATATTTCCCATGAACACACTTGAAAAGGAATAAACGGATGAGAAATGATAATTTTGAAAAGGATTTACACCCTGGATACACCGTTTGTTTGCCGTCCTCAAGCAATTTAAAGAACTTCTTGGCCTCTACATTAACATTATCGTCTTCAATCTCTTTCTGGTTTTTTCCCGAAAACTTATCTAGTATATCCCTGTGAGTATCAAATAACAAATTTTCCATGTCATCCGGCATGCCCTTTTCATGATTATGATCATTCTTCTGTTTATTTAACATAGATGAAATGTCTTTCTCATTTGGACGCCATTCAGTCATTTCTGAATTGACTCCATTAGCAATCATATGATTATAGACTTTATTTCTACGATGCCAAAAACGATGATAGCACTCTTTGCACGGGCAACTAATCTGATCTTCTTGAGCCTGAGTAGAAAATGCATAATCTAAATAAGATTCTACTCCTTCAGCATACTCATTACTAGATCGTAATAAATTGAACCACGAATTCCCACTATTCTTCATTATCCAACCTGATGAAAAGTAAACCACATCAACAAGTTATTTTTTTACATGAGAAATCTTTAAAAAACAATTCACTCTGTTAGAATAAGAAATGAACAATACTTCCTAAATAAAATAAAGGAGTCTTTCACATACAATTTTTTACAGCTATTGTTAAATACGAATTGGTGAATCAAGTATGTAGGGCTTGAAGTACCAAAACTTTCTCCAAACATAACAAACAAGTTTGTTTTACATAATCTCTAGAGAGAAGTAAAGAGAGAAAATGAAAAGATAATTGTTCCTAAATAGTGATGATTCTGAGCAGACAAACAAAAAAAGATGATCGAGCAATAATTGGAAAATCTTTGAATACCTGGCCCCAAAATGATAATAGAAATAGGTACAAGGGTAGATGGAGTAGAAGATTCTTGCAAAGCTTGTGAATAGTAGATACAAGACCTTGAATCGCTAGATGGTGAAAAACTACTGCAGAAAATTTTATCAAGAAACAGAGGGATTTGAGAAGTTTATACGTCTTGTTTCTATTGAATAATGTGACTATTAAGAATGTTACGTAAAAATGATTAGTTAAAATATTATTATTTGTATTTGTTACAAATAATAAATAGGAAAAAAAAGTGTTTCCTTTTATTCTAATATGTGTTTTAAATAATAAGTACTAAAATACTATTACATATTATGTGTTATATATAATAACCACTTATTTAATGTTACCTAAAATATGTTACATAATTTAAAGTGTTTTATGAAAATGTTACATATTAATAAAATGTCACCTAAAATCTAATGTTTTTATAAGTGTTACAATAATGTGATACATAAAATAATTATTCAAAAAATGCTACAAAATCGTGTTACCTAATATCATTTTTGTTGTAGTGATAAGGTATATGACTCATCCGTTCTCTTTCTTCAGGTGTCTTTGGAGACGTCGTCTTAGAAAGTGAAACCCCATGACTCATTGGAATATATCCTCGTTTGGATTCTTCCATGCTAAATCGTTTTAGCACCTTATTTATGTACATAGACTGGGATAGTCCGATCATCCTTTTAAATCTATCTCTATAGATTTTTATCCCTAGGATAAAAGATGCTTCTCCCAAGTCTTTCATGGAAAAATGTTTTGACAACCATGTCCGTGTTGACTGCAACATTCCTACATCATTCCCAATGAGTAGAATGTCATCAACATAAAGTACAACAAATGCAACTGCATTCCCACTAACCTTTCTATAAACACATGGTTCATCCGGATTCTTATGAAAATCAAACGTTTTGATCGTTTCATCAAACCGGATGTTCCAACTCCTCGAAGATTGTTTAAGTCCATAAATGGACCTTTGAAGTTTACAAACCATTTGCTCACTCCCACTGGATATGGAACCCTGTGGTTGTTTCATATAAATGTCTTCCTTAATGTTTCCATTAAGAAAAGCAGTTTTCACATCCATTTGCCATATCTCGTAGTCATAATACGCAGCTATGGCTAATAATATCCGAATGGATTTAAGCATTGCTACTGGTGAAAAAGTTTCCTCATAATCAACACCTTGTTTTTTAGTATAACCTTTTGCAACCAAACGTGCTTTAAAAGTATTCACTTCTCCATCTACACCACATTTTCGTTTGTAAACCCATTTACAACCTATAGGTACAATACCCTGTGGTGGATCAACCAAGGTCCATACCTTATTTGAGTACATGGATTCCATTTCGGATTGCATAGCTTCTTGCCATTTATTTGAGTCAATGTTTGACATTGCCTCTTCATAGTTTATTGGATCATTATCCAAAAGGAATCCCTCTTCGTTGTTCTTTAACAATAGGTACAGCCTTTCAGGCGCCCTAGAAACCCTTTCAGATCTCCGAAGAGGTTGTGTTTCAGATGTCCCAGTCTCTACTGGTATGTTATTTGTGACAACTTGTGGAATAATTTATGGTTCTTCATTAAGTTCTATAATCTCGCCATTCTTGTTAGAAAGAAATTCTTCTTCTAAGAAAACAGCAATTCTCGAAACAAACACCTTTTGTTCAGAAGGATCATAGAAATAGTATCCTATAGACTTTCTTGGATACCCCACAAATTTACATAAGATGGATCTCATATCCAACTTATCTCCCACTTGCTGCTTCACGTAAGCAGCACAACCCCATACTTCCATATACTTGTATGAAGGTGTTTTTCCACACCACATCTCATAAGGTGTGTTAGGCACAACTTTACTTGGCACTCTATTCAAAATATGTGATGCTGTTTCTAA